ACCCTTTGTCACTGTCCACTAAACAGCCAGTCAAACTGCCTTTTCTAGGTTGGCCTTTTGAACGTGTGTGTGTGTGTGTGTGTGTGTGTTTGCTGAGTGGACAATGATGGAAGCTTCCAGCCTGACTCAATGTTATCTATCTTTCTCTGGTCCGACAGGCTCACTCTCGGTTAAGCTAACTGTGCTGGTTTGTGGAATAGTTCTGCAATAATCACAGATCAGAGAAAGGAATTACCTCTAGACTCAAACACACAAAAAAGCTCTCAAAATGGTGATTATAGTTGCATGTATGTGGGTTTTGACCTGTTTTTTTTTTTTATTTGAATAGAACTTAGAGCTTTGTGTGCGGTTATGAAGTGGTGTTGTTAGCTAAACCGTGTGCTTTCTCACTTTAATGAAAACAAAAAAGGAGCTGAATTGATTTTGGGGTGATCTTTTTTCTTGTTTTGTGGAAGCGTGTTATCTTTGCCAAGGATGATTAACGTTTTTTTTTGCTTTTAGCTTGTGGTTGACCTGTTTTGTTTAACTGGATGTTTAATGTGTTCTTCTGGCTGTCTTGTTGGAGTGAGTGGTGAATTTTCTGTGTGTTTTTTAATTGCTCTCCCTAAACACCTCCTTACTCCCATACCTCACATATTTCCCCCCAAAATAACCAAACCTATCACTGCTTGTGTGTGACTTTAGCATCTTCCTGGTGTAACTAGCAGTTTCTCACATTAACACAACGTAGCAGCAGCAACAAGTCCCCTATGAAACTGTCTCCTTTTTATTACTGCTGGCCAATTCATTACAACTCTTTTGTTTTCCTTCCTGTCTCTGTATCTCTTTGTCTTTTCTATTCTCTCCACCACACATACAAGACTTGTGGTACCGTAGCACCATCAGAAATGTGGATGTCTTGGGAATGAAAACAGTTATTATATGAGCTCTTGTCATAGCAATATGTGTATTTATGTGTGTACATGTGTGGTTGCATTGGAGTATGTGCTCTTATTGTGTTTGTACGAGTGTGTGTCTTTGTCCGTCCACATAGTCCCAAAGTCTCCAGTGTGACACAAACAAATCTCTCTCGCTCCCTCATTCTACCGGAGTGAGCTTTCGTCACATGGGCTCGTGGTGTTAAGGAAAACAAGCGCACCCATTGTGTCACACAAAGCCCTGAATGCTGACGCTGCAGTCGCATGAAGCTCTGTCTGTGTGTGTGTGTGTGTGTGTGTGTGTGTGTGTGTGTGTGTGTGTGTGTGTGTGTGTGTGTGTGTGTGTGTGTGTGTGTGTGTGTGTGTGTGTGTGTGTGTGTGTGTGTGTGTGTGTGTTGGGGGGTGTGTGGTGTAATGTGTGTGTGTTGTGTCCGTGTGTCGTGTG